TTTGGGTATGTGTGTGTTAGGTGTCAAGAGTCAAGCAGAAAAATAAAGGCAACAACTGATCCAAAGTGGAGCCTCAATTCCATTTTGTCCAAAGCATTATAATTTCAAATGTTTTTATTTCAATTCACTAAATTTAGATTGGCTCAAAACTGATTAAGAATTAAGAGTTAGGTGTTAGATATATCATGTAGCATGTAGCTTGATTCACTGTTAAGTTTCCAACTGAGTCTAATTTTCTAACTTGGTTAAGAGACTTTTTCTTTAAAAAAAAATGTTCTCTCTTTGTATCTCAAAGCCATATTTAAAAAATCAAAACCACCTTTCTTTTAAATAAATCATATTTTGTTTTTCATTTTCATTTTTTGTGAAACTGCATTAGCTTAAATGGGACATTTGAACAAGTGGGGAAAAGAGACATGAGAAAAGAAGAGTTCAAAGCAGGGCATGCCTTTCCTGCCCAAAGGGCTCCTGGGTTTACTTGACTACATTGGATGCATTTCATGTCTTCTGTGGCTTCATGGTAAAGTTTTCATCAAAGGAACAGAATAGTCCAGTAACACTCAGCATTCCAAATAAGCAAGAAGTACTTTGGGTTTTGACACCTTCTCCCAATCCAAAACTTCATTACTTTTTCCTTTTTGTTACTTCTTCCTTTTGGTGTTCTTAGTTTTAAGAGGCTTTTGGTAAATTCACAGTATGGAAAGCATACAGAAGTTCAGATGAAACGTTTGTAATTCCAAGTATAGCCCAGGTTAGAGAGCTTTGCATTCCCTCATTTCGTACTTTCCCCATACCATGCTAGGGTATTTTATACATTGCTGTTACCAGTGTCTTTTCTCAAGTACTCCTTACATCCTTCTACCTTGGGATTGTTTTCTTCCTTTCTGCAATGTATTTTGGGAGGGGGAAAGCCTTACTCAAATTTCATGTATTTTACTGATTGAAGGCAAATAAATGTACTTTTAAATCTCCCCTATGTGTATGTGCATAGTATTCTTCTTGATCTATGGGACACACAGGTTGAATTAGGTTTAGTTTGTGTTCATGAATGTAACCTTCTTGGGGCTAAATTTGAGCCACTGTGTTAATCCTTACCTTTCTACCTACGAACCCACTTCTTCTCTCCATCCCAGTCATCCTCTTTCTTTCCCGTTTTGTGTAAGAGAATTTGCTTCCACATGTCTGCATTATCTACCTGGCCAGAGCAAGTAGAAACAGCTTTCATATTGCTTATAACAACTTCTAATTCAGTCTAGATTTTGGTTAATCGTTATTTTTCCTTCTTTCCCGAAGAAAAATATTACAAAAACTAAATTTATTTCTAGAAAAAAACATCTCAAAGCTCAAGATTTTGAGTTTTGGAGAATTCAAAAATTGGTTGCTTTGTGGGCTTCTTTTTCCACTAGTTCCATCCAGCAGCCTCCTGTCCAGTTGGGTCCTCTGATTGCCAAGACTGTCTGGCCTTTCCATTTTAGGATCCTCTTCTCTCTGTATATCATTGTCAGTAGTTCTTTCTGTGTCTTTTTCATCTCCTCCTCACTTCTTCAGTTTTGCAGACCCAAATAAAGTTGTGATATTCCTTAAATTGTCGTTAACTCTAGGTCTTTGTATCTCATGAGGACAGTAATTTATCACAGTTAATGGTTGGAACGGGCTGATCAGAGAGTCCAACAAGGGTTGGGGGCATGGCTCAAGTGGCAGAGCACCTGTCTAGCAAGTGTAAGGCCCTAAGTTCAAATCCTAGTACTGCCAAAAAATAAAAGAAATTACCTTCTGAGCCTTTCAAGTTAGTTATCTGAGCACTCCCTCTGGATTTGCATATTCCCTGAGGGGAAGAAAAACAATTTCTTTGGGGGTATAGCTCAGTGGTAGAACATTTGACTGCAGAGAGTCCAACAATAGGTCTTTGTTAAAACCAAGTGTTGCTTTTTGTCCATTCTGTGGAGACTGCACCCTAACCTCTGACAAACAGCATCAGTACTAGCTACTTCTGCTTTCCTTCTTTCTGTCCCGGTAACACTGTGCGACCAAGTCCACTGTTGTGAGAATGAACCAGCAGGCTTTCTACAGCCCATTCTCACCCCAACTTCAAGTGTTTTGCATATGGCATTTAGGAAGATTATTAAACAAAAATGAAATAGATTAATAAATGAACATAAAAGAATCAATTCTTTTGAACTGTGGTTGCATAATGGAAATCGACTACCATGAATGAACCCATGCACTGAAGTTATGGACAGCAGAGCTAATGCACTGCCATGAGTTCATCTTTATTATTGCATTACACCTGAATCAATTGATAAAGTAGCTTTTTTTTTAAGGGAGGGATGGCACTTAATTGAATAAAAGTCAATGTAATTATATTAGCAGAGGCCAACAGTACTGCTGACAGCGGAAAAGGGACACTGGTGAGCAGAGTGCCAGAGCTGGTCTACACATTTCTGCACATCGTTTGGTTGACAGATATTGAGGGCTGGTACATCATCTAATTAGATTACAGATTTCTACTGCTGTAAGTGAGAAATGAAGAGAAAAATCTCTTCCTGGTAACATATCAGTGGAAATGTGTAATTTCACAAGTCATTTTAGGGGAAAGGTGTCCATCTGGGTGATCAGTGTGTCCTTTTGTCAATGTTAATTTATTCTTCCTTATTCACTGTGTCTTGATGTGACTGCTGTGTGTCTGGCTGCTGTTTTCTCAGCAGTGAACCTAGGAAGTGGTAACTGCAGATGTGTGAGAAACAACACAGAGTTCTAGATTATAGTCATGGCAAAATATGTGTTGTGAAATTAAGAAAAGGAGGAGGGTATTAAAAATAATGAATTGGGGATAGGATTTCATGAGCTCCTTATACTTGAAAGATTATTTTATCAATAGAGTAATAGTACAGAGTGTAACTGTGTTTCCACATTCTCGTTATAACCCTGGTAGTGTCGTCCCCACATGTCATAGCAAAGACTTCACAGTAGGCATTTCCTGCACTCTGTTTAGCAACCTGCACTTGGAGTCATCTGCCATCTGACTCCACAGAAACACAATGACTGTGTCAAAGCATGGACCGTGGGGACAATTTCAGTTTGTCACTCACATCCCCACACACTGCATGCATCTGTTTGGAGCTCATTTATGGATGATGATGATGATGCTGTGAGTTTGGTTTATCTTAATTTGATTTATGATTTTTGGATTATGCAGCTGATCTGAAAATCATCAAGACAGCCTATGGGATGATCGCTTATGACAGAAAATAATTTTGTGATCAGAACAGTTTAAATCCCTATTTTATTGTTTAAGTTTTTTTAAAACCAGATGTCTAGAATGTGAATTTGTTTTCTCTCTCTCTCTTTCTCCCTCTCTCTCTCTCTCTCTCTGTCTCTCATTCTTGCTTTCTTTTGTGATCGATTTAGCAAAAGATTAGAAAGCTGATCTTATTGTCACAAGGTAAGCTCAGCCTTCCCAAGTGCAGTGTGGAGAGGGCTGCCACCCCTCTGCCCCTTCAACCAGAGTGCTATCTATTGTCTTGTGTGGAAAGGTGGAGAGGCTTCTCCCACCTTTCTTGTCTCTGAGGCACATACCTCTCACCCATCTCTAGGAAATATTAACTATGCTTGTCACCAAATGGTGTCACCAAATGTGACTCATTTTGGTCTTCCATACTTTTTAATTAGAACCAAGGGGTCTGTTGAACTTTATACTGGCCATTTATGTCCATTCTATTACCACAATTACTTCTCTGAGAGCTTCCACTAGTATTGGGAAGCTTTATTTCCCTGTGTATTTATCAGTTTATTTTTGGAAGGGTATCATTCAATTTAGATATTTGTCAAACATCTGAACCTTTGCAGGTGGAGAGAGGTATATGCCCAAGGGCACTTTAAAAATCAATGGGGGATGTAAATACAAAAGCTATGTTTTTCAGATAAATAATAACATATCAGGCTTTGTAAATCATGACATCCCTATAGATGCTCTGGGACAAATCCTTTTTTTTGTTTTTGTTTTTGTTTTTTTAATACAAGCAAAGCACTCAGTGAATAGAGTGAAAGTTTTGCTTGTCTAAGAAGTATGGGTTCTGGTTTTTTAAACAGAGGGACCTGTATATCATTGTTGTGCTTGATTTTTTTTTTTTGTACTTACTGTGTTTTAATTTTGTCTTTTTGGGTTTTTTCTGTTGTTTTGTGTGCTTTTTTTCTTTTTAAGGGTGGGTGGATTGTACTTGAAAAATAATTTGTCTTTCAGCTTTTCTTTCAAAGAATTAAACTTTAAAGTAGAATTATTTGATGAAAATATTTCAACACAAAAATGCAGCAACTTCTGAAAAATAGATGTATTTTGCTATTAGACTTAACCAGCATCCCATGTCATTCTGAGAAAAGAGATTTACTAAAGACAGTCTTTAATTCTATTTTAAGTCACTGATCTATTAAGCCTATTTGTTTCTTAAACCTGGCAGTGTAGGATAATGAGGAAGATGTCATTATTTTTTTAGGTTAAACCTAAATTATAATCTATATCATTTACTTTTTTTAAAAGCAGATCTTTTTTAATACCTCTAAATGCAGTGTTTACTGTATTTAAAGGGTATTTTTTGCTTTGATTTAAATTATTTAGGTAAGCAGAAAGTTTCCATTCTTTTGTCCTATTTAATGTATACTCTAAAATTTCTGCCCTGAGGTCCTCTGTGGCTGATACTGCATAGTAACACTAGTAGAGTAGTCATTGAGAAAGGGTGCATGAGCTTGCATTCATCCTACCATTGAAATTTACTCATAAAAGTTACATTAATGGAAAGTTCTCCTTACTGCACCTCCCATTACCACCACTTACTCTCAGATCCCAAGGATGTAAGGGAATGCTTGCTTTTGTAATGGCATAATTAGGAGTGAATCTGTTTATTTGATGCTTAATGAAAGGTGAATCCATTTTAAAATGCTCTTCTTTTTCTCACCCCTCCCACTCCTTGTACACCTACCCCCCCCCCTTCCTCTTATTTTCCTAGACACAGTGCCAACATAAATCTGCATCGTAAACTGTTGACCAAAGAACTCGATGACATGGGCCTGGACTCATCGCAGCCCTCCCTTAGCAAGGACCTCCGGGATGAATTTTTGGTGAAGATCTATGGTGCCCAGCACCCCCTGGGGCTCGATGTCAGAGAAGATACCTCCTCTCCCGCAGGGACTGAAGACTCCCACCTGAACGGGTATGGGAGAGGCATGGCGGAGGACTACATGGTCCTTGACCTGAGCACCACCTCCAGCCTTCAGTCCAGCAGCAGCATCCATTCCTCCAGAGAATCCGATGCAGGCAGCGACGAGGGGATTCTTCTGGACGACATTGACGGGGCGAGTGACAGTGGGGAGTCGGCACACAAGGCTGAGGTCCCTGCCCTCCCTGGCAGCCTAGGGGCTGAAGTTTCAGGATCTCTTATGTTCAGCAGCTTGTCTGGGAGCAATGGTGGGATCATGTGCAACATTTGCCACAAAATGTACAGCAACAAGGGGACCCTGAGGGTGCACTACAAAACTGTGCATTTGCGAGAGATGCACAAGTGCAAAGTTCCCGGTTGCAATATGATGTTTTCCTCTGTGCGAAGCCGAAATCGGCACAGTCAGAACCCTAATCTCCACAAAAACATTCCCTTCACTTCAATAGATTAGTCCCAGAACGGACACTACAAATGCCAGCTCTCACCAGATGGCCTCCATGTTTGAACTGCCATAGTCAGTCAGTGTGCGATCCGTGTGTGTGTGTGTGTGTGTGTGTGTGTGTGTACACGCATACGTATGCCTCTGTGTCTGCACGTGGGCACACACACATGTTCTTTTCTTTAGATAAAAACTATAAACACTAGGTGCTTTTGAATTTTTTTTCTCTTTCCTTTATAGTTTTGGGAGAGGGGTGGGATCTTTAATTTGGGGGTGAAAACAGAGTACCCCTTTAAACATACACACATAAAGCGTACAACTAGCCCCAATTTTGATAGAGTAATTCTTGGTCTTTTCCAAAGAGACAATTTGTTGTACCCATGACTGTTGCCTGCAAAAAAAAGAAAAAAGAAAAAAAAAGGAACTTAAAATTGTCTTTTGTGAACTTTTAAGATTTTGAGAGAATCTTCAATTAAAGCATGGCAGATTCACCTGTAAATATTTAGCCTTGAGAGGCCAATGATGTAAAACAATTGTATTGATGGTTGTTTAACTCTTTTGTTTAATTTTGACAGTTACATCCAGCTGTTAGATATGCAGGAAAAGAATAGTTTGCTGGCTAGCTGTATTCATTTATGTTAGCATTAATGCACATTTTTTTTAAAAAAAATAACATGGTCTTGTTTTTACTACCTGTTAGATATAGTGGTAAAGAGGTGCTGGCATGCTTTACAGCACAGATCTGATTTTTAAAATGTCCTGTACTAGTACATAAATCCAGTCATGCACTTTTTCATACACTACAAGGGGATGTGTAATATCCATGCTTTTTTTTTATTCTTAAACTATTGCCATACTTCAGTAAGTGTCTTTAAAAAAAAATCCACTTGTTTAAAAATGGTCTGGTCAGTATAGGGCACAAATGCCAAACAAAAGTATTAGTGTTAACACAAAACTGCCAACTTTGCACAAGTTTCCAGAAAAGAAAATACAATTAGTCACTCAACATAACCACAGGCCAAATTGTCAGCCACCAGAAAACCGCTTTAAAAAAAAAAAAAAACACTTGGTGATTCTTTCAAGTGCTGAATGTTATTAGAGTCAACATTGCATCCTTCTTGCTTATATGTTAAGTTACATAAAAGGAAAACGAAATTATGTGGTGTGAAACAGCAAGGCATTTCTTCTTCAGAGGCAGGATAATATTTCAGGATACAAAAAGCCCAAATTACTCACTATGGAACAAAGATGAATACAGTACAAGAGTTAAACACTCATTTCCAAGCCCCTAACCTTCTAACCCTTATCATTTGAAAAGAAAGCAAAGGTGAACTGGGTTGGTGTGTCATATGGCTGTATAGCCACCTCACTTGTAAATTCTGCAATAGCACTGCAATTCAGGCCTGTTTGACAGACAAATCAAAGCCAGTTTACAGCAGCAGTACTTGGAAGCTCTGAAAACACGTGCTGAACTTGAATTGAGCAACACTCCTTTTTGAAAAGCAGAGGAAGGGGGGTTAAGGTAGGATCTGTCTGTGCAGTGTTTTGTGTTTCCCCACACGAATTTGTCAGAGAGAAATGAAAGCAAGCCTGAAACCAAGCAATTGAGAGTGAGAAAGGGGAAAAGACTCCGCTCCAAACCTTTTTTGTTTTGTTTTGTTTTGTTTCCGATGTTTACACATGTTGCCTGTGCTGGTTAACCACATCGGCAGCCTCAGCTACCACACATACTGACTAAATGATGATATTTACTCAAGTTCAGTCTGCAGCCAAACCATCAGGGTGTGCATTGCCGACTATTTTGTCTTTTTGTTTTTTTCCTTTTTTTTTTTTTTGTGGGGGGAGAGAGTTAAACAAGTAATATTTTGTCACACAGTACATAATACAAAGAATGTATTTCTTTTCTACATTTAATGGCCTCAAACATTTCTCCCATCAGTCTAAAAGTTAGAAATACCCCTTTCAACTTTTCATGTCATTTCCATTTTTCATGTTTTGTAATTATTTTTTTCTGTGTTCACATCAGCATCTACTTCCGTTAAATTTGCCAAAGGAAACTATTGATATGTTTCTGTTATTATTCCTGTAGGAGTTATTGTACCTCACAGTATTTATTGTTTCCAAAAGAATAAGCATCATTCCTTGGGGGGGTGTCTAGTATTTTTATTTGTGAAAATTTCAGAAACAGTAGATTCTTAAAAGATAAGCTATAAATATCTAGAAGCTTTATCTTTCAACTCCTTCCGAGGATGCTATGGGGTTCATTTGATTCTTCTTTTGTTCTACAGTGAGGAAAGACCAAAAGTATTTGCAGTACAAAAGAAACTATATCAAACACTATGTCTGTTAAATGACAAATGTTTACGGTAAAAAGCTGAGGAATTAGTAATAACCATTTTTTTTGTTTTGTTTTCTTGTACCTTTGAATTCCCTAAAGTCGTCATTGCTTTATTTTGGTGTTGTGTTAAATTGAATAGACAGAGATGTTTTCCTTTGTTTTATACCATATAAGACTGTACAGTATGTTTGTGAAAGATTGAACTAGAATAATGAACATTTGTTTGCAAACATTTTGGTCCTCTTAGCATTCTCTGTGTTGCGCTATTGGCCCATTACCAAATGAGTAGATTCAAAAAGAATGCACAAATATTTTTAGTATCCCAACAAATTATGCAAACTCTAGCATTGAGAGTGTATATAGACTAAATTATGCCTAGTTTTATGAAAAAAAATAATATAAAATTTTATTTCAGTAACTCTTTAAAAGTTACACTCCTAGTGTGATATGAAAACTCATCTGTACAAAATCAGTGTTATCTGTTTAATATCGAGTACGAGGTCAGGTGGTCCTAGTGAGTGAATTACATGGCTGTCAGGAGGTCACATCGGCAAATGAACTAGACATTGAACAAGTGTTTTGTTACTTGCCACAAACCAAGCTAAGGTCTATAGCTGGTTAGAAGAAAAAGTCCAGAAGTGATGAGAGTTCTAGAAATAGAATTTCTCTTGCTTGGAAGCATGAATGCAAAAACCTAGTTATCGTCAGAGAGATGGCAATGAGTCCTGGGCAGCTGGCACTTTTTATGTATGTCTACTTTTGTGCCTCAAGTGCCCAGTTGTGATGGTGGCCTTCTAAACAAGTAAATAACACTTTCCAGTATAAAGCCTATTTACTTAAGAGGGGCAAGGGGAATGGAGGGGTGTAGTGCATAAAATGTACAATTCTCATGGTCCCACAGTGTTGCTTGTTCTTGGGTGTACCTGCGTGCAGTGTTTTGACTTAACTGTGTTTCCCTTGAAGATGAGAGTTCCCAAGGCTTATGTGCAAAAGGAATGGATAAAGGAATGTGCTGAGTTCTTCAACTTTTCCCATTCCTACTCATTTATTTTTCCATGGGAGTTTCTTGATGTTAAAATTTCTCTCTAGCTGTATCCATTTCATGCTAGCTGAAAATTAATAGGGATATTATAGACTTTTGTCCATGTAGTTTACCTCTTTTGATTGACTTTAGCCAGAATTTTATCACAGGTACAATATTAGATAACATTACTGTGCATGCGCTCTAGCTGATGTTGAAGCTTACTGTTTTCATCATTTTTAAACTATGTTTTTGTAAATATCAGAAAGGCTCAGTCCACTTCGGGGAATATCTGCATGCTATGGAAATGGAAGAAAGAGCAAGAAACAAGATAAATAATAAGGAATTGGGTTTTTATTCTGCTAGTAATTGTATTTAAATAAGCCAGCCCATGTAACTCATTCCAGGTCTTAGCGCAGCTGCCCTTTTCAGCCTGGTGCTGTTTTTTAGGTTTAAGATATGTTTTTTTTGGTTTTCCTTCTCAATATGACAATTTTTTTGGTAATGTCACAAGGTTGCCATTGTCTTTGTACTGTGATTTCTTTGGGTATGAATTCCAGACTCTTCCAGTAAGAGAAGGATGGCACTTAAATGGTGAACAGCCCCATCAGCCTACACATTGCTCTTAAAAAAGAAAAATTTCTGAATATCTGGTCATTTTACTAAGGAGAACTGTGTACTAGGTTCCCAGCCAGTAAAATGTGACCTTTTCTTCCCTTATTCCGTACACACCCTACATGTGTGCCAAGAAAACTAAAACATGAAGTTAGTAACCAGAGTGGGGTGGATCTGCTGCTAACCGCTAACAGCTTCACCTGAGCAGTCCTAACTCTACTGGATCTGTCTGCTAGCATTGGGTTAGGTTGACTTACAGAGTGAAAAGAATCCAACTGTCCTAAGACACGCTGCAACCATTGTCATCCAGGAGAGACTTTCATCCAAGGGACATACCCTGTTCTTAAGAGCTGCTCTTAAAATTATGACAAATTGTATTTTGAACAGAATCACTTAACCTTTTCCCAAATTGAAAGTATTTAAATTAGGGGGTTTTATTTTGCCATCTCATATTTTTTGTTGTTTTTAACAGAAGGAATCTAAATGAGTAAGGAGGGCAGTAAGAGGCAGGTGCCAAAAAGATGAGTTCTTTCCTCAAAAGAGTGTTACCAAGTTAGAAGGTTGCTTCCTGCAAAAGAAATAGGTAAAGCACTGGGAAATGTTTGCCCAAGAATCTGCTATGGCTCTGCCTGGCAGTGGGTGACAGGATATCCATGCTGTGTCCTGCAGAGGTCCCCAGGACCAGGTGAGTCACTGAACAAATCTAGGGAAGGGACAAGGAAAGTAAGGACAGCTGTGTGGAACAGCAGACATTGTTTAAGGGTCATTAGAGCCAACAAGGGCAGCTGGGGGGGGTCTTTGCTTTTATATTGTTTTTGAGTGAGAATTGATGCTAGAGTTCTTTTAGGAGCAAAAAGATGCAAGCGTCATCTAGGTTGCAGAAAAGGCTAGTGGTGAAACCCTTACTCATGATGAGTGGAGAAGTAGCTCTGAGCAGGACCAGCATGCACCTGTCCCTTCTGCCAGCATTGCCCTGTTCATCACTGTAGCAACACCCAAGACATGATAGTAATACCATTTGGCTAACAATCTCTTGATCAATACAGGAGCCCAGTTACTCTCCTACAAGGGATAGAAAAAACTTCTATTTTCATATTTTCCCTCAGCTAAGCCATGCTTGCTCCTGTTACTATTGGGACCATATTTGATCTGCCCCAGGCTCGTTTCTGAATTTCCCATGGTTTCAGAGTTTCTCACCATAAAGGTAATTGTCCAGTGGTATTACATAAATCCTGATGTAAAGCTGACCACTGAGTCATCTGCCCTCACTTGCCCACACACCCATCCTGCCTTATGTCCTTTC